CACTGTATTCCATATATTGACCTTAACATGCTTGATGCCATCCTTCCTTAAGTCCAGTGTAGGATAGTAACGACTTGTATTAGTTAGATCAATCACTAGACCAAGCTGAAAAAGAGCCATGCATATACTTAATTAGATGGGACTTTAGAGAGTGTCGTAGAAAAAGATTGATGCATGCAAGTTATAGAAAAACTTACTTTTCTTCCCTTAATTCCTTGGTTTCGGAGCAGCTGTGTAAAAGAGTATCTTTTGCCAGGAGGAACCTGTTGGTTGTATGATTCACTAAGAGGAACCTTTGAAGGAATAATGCATCCTATTTCCAGACCAAAACCAGGACAATCTAGCCAACCTGTTGTCGCACAAAAAAACATACTATATGAAACCATGGAACCTTGAAGGGAACAAAATAATTTGAAAACATACAATACCTTGAGGGATTGTGCTCTGATCATAAACTCTAGTATCTCTCTTCTGATAAGTAGATAGATCACGGAAAACTGTGTGAGAGATTCGGTTTGACATGTTTACTCTCATCCTTTTCCTTCTTTCGTCACGCTCCTACAAAGAGCAAATCATCCACAGATATCATAAGAAACAGATAACTATGAATATATGTGATTATGCAATGGTACAATACCCGTCTTGCGATCTCAACTGCAGATTCTATCCGGCGTCTCTTATCGAAGGGAACATCGTCGCCTTCAGGCTGGGTCGAACAAGGGAGATATACCATGGTCGAAGAAGAAATCGAGAATTAGGGGTTTGCCTTGCAATTGAAAGGGAGTAAAAAATATTCGAGCGAAATTTCATAAAGACTATTTAAATGGGCCAACATAGAAGGCCCAATAATGCCAACACGAATTTATAAACGAACGAGGACCATCCACGTCATCAAAGTATCACATTCCGCTGTTTATTTTATATACAAAAAGAAAACTCTGATTTCTTCTGCAACACTTTGGAATCTTCGAGGAGGCTTCTAGCTCAAGGGCGCGTTTTCTTCAAGCTAACAGATCGGAGCAGTTAGAGTCATGGCTACCGGAGAGGATAAACCGGTGATGGTCATCGGAATCGACGAAAGCGAACAGAGCTATTACGCATTGGAGTGGACTCTCGATCGTTTCTTCGCTCCTTACGCTCCCAATTATCCCTTCAAGCTCTTCATCGTCCACGCCAAACCTAACGCCGTCTCCGCCGTTGGTCTCGCCGGTCCCGGTACGCTCTTTGATTTCGAATTTTACCTGAGACAGAGCAGGCACACTTGTTCTTCTTCTAGGGTTCTGTTTTAGGAGATGATCATTTTGGGGATTTTGGTTAGGAACTGCGGAGGTTATACCTTATGTTGATGCCGATTTGAAGCAAACCGCTGCTAGGGTTGTCGAGAAAGCCAGAGCACTTTGTCAAAGCAAATCGGTACGGATTCTCAGAATTTCTAATTTTTTTATTTTATATCGAATTTTTGGATGAAATTTTGAAGAGAAATGACTTTGAATTTGATATATGTTTATTGGATTCATCATCTATTGGACTCTTAGATGAGGTAGGTTATGTGAATTATCTAATAGCATTCAAAATCTTCAAGCTTAGTTAGGAGCACTATGGTTTAAGTTATGTGAATTCTCTAGTAGCATTCAAAAGCTTCAAGCTAAGAAGCAGTACTATGTGTGTGTGTGTTTTTTTTTTTTTAATTACAACTATGTTTTCTTTTTTAATATAGCATTGATCGATTTGTGGTTAGCTACGATGCGCGACTACAGTCTTCTCAATCAGTCTAGGTTTGATGTGTAGGTTCATGACACGACCATCGAAGTTTTCGAAGGAGATGCAAGAAACATTCTGTGTGAAGTTGTAGATAAACACCATGCTTCTGTTCTTGTTGTTGGTAGCCATGGATATGGAGCTATCAAGAGGTACTTGTTCATTCAATTTTCTTATAAAATATTTGTATTCATCTTTCTCGTAATAACAATCATCACTTGTCGGTTTTGCGACAGGGCGGTTCTCGGGAGCGTGAGCGACTACTGCTCCCATCACGCTCATTGCTCGGTGATGATCGTCAAGAAGCCTAAGATCAAGGCCTGAAATCAGAAGTCAAGGCAAAGTCTTTGCCTAGTCAAATTCTGTGAAGTGAAATAAGTTAGCTTGATGTGAAAACTATTGAAGACAATCTACTACGTTTGCATTTTTATGTGCGTACACATCATTATGTATTTGTGTGTAATTGTTTTATCACATCTAATGTGTTTTAGTATTTCTAAACAAAATATTAATA